CCCACCCGCACAGCAAAGCCTGGCAAGCTCCTCATGACGTATTCGATATGTCAAACACAGTTAACAACAAAGTCTCACAGTGGAGACACTACTGGGCCTGCTCGAGAAAACTGAAGAATGGAAGGACAGTGACAGTGATTGGTCTTTTAGAAAGAAACAAATATTTTCAAAGAAACAGAATCTAAAATAGCATTCTTTTTAAAGTTTGTTTTGGGGACTACACCTGGAAGTGCTCAGGCTTACTCCTGGCTCTGCACTCAGAAATCATTCCTAGGGGGCTCAGCAGACCACATGGGATGTCAGAGTTGGTTTTTATTTTTTCTTTCCTTTTTTGGGTCACACCCAGCGATGCACAGGGGTTACTCCTAGCTCATGCACTCAGGAACTACTCCTGGCGGTGCTTGGGGACCATAATGGATGCTGGGAATTGAACTCAGGCTGGCCGAGTGCAAGGCAAACACCCTACCCTCTGTGCTATCACTCCAGCCCAAATATCAGGTTTTGAACCTGGGTTGTTCCCATGCAAGGTAAGTGCCGTACCCATGGTACTATCTTTCTGAACCCTAAAAACAGCATTCTTTAAGAATAAGGCCAAATGTAAAGAAAAATTTTAACACCAATCTTTACGGATACAAAAATAATCTCTACTTAGGATTTGGTATTTATTACAGAAACATATTAACTTGATTTTTAAATGCTGCCTAGCAGATTTCATGTATCGTGTCAGTTATTAACATAAACCCCAAGCAGTGACACAGAATTGCATAGTTGGGAAATTAGGTTTTTAATTTTTTTTTCTGTAGCCCCATTTTACAGGTGAAGAAACTAAGGCTTGGAGAAGTTGATATGCCCAATGGAAATAGCCAGCTTCCAAGACTGACTGGCTCTCTAGTCCAAGCCTATTCACTGCATCAAATTTCTACCCTTCTAGCCTGGGCTTTACAGGAAATTCTACAATAGAATGGGAGATAAGCAAAGGACCATTTCTTTCATAATTTAGTATAAGGCAATATATTTAGAGGGCAGACGTCCTAAAATAAATTTTTAAATAACAAAGATACTAAAGACAAATCTTCCTAACAGTACTTTGTATCAATCCCAAGAACTACATCTACCCTTGTATATGAAAACTTAACAATTTGGTAGCACAGAGATAAATAAAGCTGTTAAAGTGGTTGGCAGGTGACCTCGATTCAACCCGAAGCAAAGTACACCACAAATAGTGACCCTGAACAAAGATCTAGGGCACCACCAGGTAAAGACCCAAACCACCCACCCCTTTTTTGTTCCTTTGGTAATGAACTTCTAACTCGGTCAACACTGAACACACACACAGCTTTCTGAAACTGATTACGACCAAAAACTTATCTTGGTATCAGTTTCTTATTTTCTTCTGTGAGTACTGGACACATTCAAAAACAGACTGCTTTAAAAGTTTGAGCCACAGGGGCTGGAGCAATAGCACAGCAGGTAGGGCATTTGCCTTGTACGCAACTGACCCAGGTTCGATTCCCAGCATCCCATATGGTCCCCTGAGCACTGCCAGGAGTGATTCCTGAGTGCAAAGGCAGGAGTAACCCCTGAGCATTGCCGGGTGTGACTCAAAGAGGAAAAAAAAAAATCCAGAGCCTTTGTTCATCCAATCCCCAAACGTTTGTTCATGTAGCAAGTGATCCCATTTCACCAGGTGTCAAATTCACAGTAAATTTTCCAACTTCTCCTTAAGTAATTTAGGTGGTTTTTTTGGTTTTGTTTTTTGCCTACACAGTCAACCCTGGCCCTGAGCATTACATAAAGTCTCCAGACCCCTGCCAGGAGTAAGCCCTGAGAACCCTGAGAATTGCTGAGGGTGGCCCTAGAAACAAAGTTTTAGTTTTAACCTCGGAGCACAAAGCTAAGGAACAGTCTATGAGCACTGCCAGAGGTGGCAAAAAAATACCCCAGTAAATAAAAAGTTTCTCTTGTCTTATCCATCCTTTGCTAAAGAGATCAGATGTGTGTGTGTGTATTTGTGTGTGTGTGTGTGTGTGTGTGTGTGCACACCAATTGTTTTGGCTATTTTTAGGTTTTCAATTAAGTCTGGAGAGACAGCACAGAGGGTAGGGCGTTTGCCTTGCACACAGCTAACCCGAGTTCGATTCTTCCGCCCATCTAGGAGAGCCCAGCAAGCTACCAAATGTGTCTCACCCACACAGCAAAGCCGGACAAGCTACCCATGGCATGTTCGATATGCCAAAAACAGTAACAAGTCTCACAATTTGTTGATAGATGTTACTGGTGCCCACTCGAGCAAGTTGATGAGCAATGGGAGGACAGTGCTACAGTGCAGTTTTTTGCCTTGATTATGCCCACTTACTGTTAAACTATAAAACAGCAAAAGAAATAGAGGAAAGACCCCACAATCCTCAAGTTATGAACAATAAACTAAAGTTAAAGAAAGGTTTTGTTGGGGCTGGAGTGAGAGTGCAGCAGGTAGAGTGTTTGCCTTGCAAGCAGTCATCCCAGGTTCAATCCCCGGAATCCCATATGGTTCTCCAAGCACCGCAAGGAGTGACCCCTGAGCATCACTGGGTGTGACCCAAAAAAGAAAAAAAATGTTGGGTTTTGTTTTGCTGTGTTCCCCACATGCAAGGCATGTGGTCTATACTCTGAGCAACAATCACAACGCCAAAACTAAAGTTTTAAAAATAATAAAACGTTTCCTAAAACAGGGAGAACAAGTTCTAGAAGGTAAAACTGACTGGAATCAGTATTGCATAATGCCCAGTGGTTAAAAGTACTAACTAGGGAGGCGGAGAGATAGTTCAGAAGGTGGGGTATTTGCCTTTCATTTGACCAACCAGTTTGATTTCCTGTGTTTTGCCAGGGGTCTTCCCTAAGCAGAGGGCCAGCGGGAAGCCCTGAGAACTGCCAGGTGTTGCCCAAATATGTACAAAAGCCACTAGCTAGGTTAAATATGGCCAGAAGAATCTTTTTACCTTTGTTATTCAGTGGCTTTGTAAATTTTGACACCTCTGAGCCTGTTTGGTCACGTAAAAAATTAAAATAACCCCTGAGCTAGCAGCAGGGTTGCTATGTATTAGAACTGTTTAAAATCGATTTTTGGGGTGGGGGGGCAGAGGGATAGTACAGCAGGTAAGGTGTTTGCCTTGCACATGGGCACTTACCTTGCACATGGTTGACCCAGGTTCAATCCCCGCCACCCCATGTGGTCTCCTAATCCCTGCCAGGAATAATCACTGAGTTTAGAGCCAGGAGTAAGCCCTGGGTGTGTGGCCCCAAAACAAAAATTGACTTTCATGAAGTAATTAATTCATTGTAACTATTACTAACAAGTCAGTCTTTGGAGAGGTAGATAAATCCTTAAGTCTCACAGGGACCTCAAAGATTCCCCTACAATCTTATCTCAAAAGACTCTTTCAAAACCAGAAACACAGGGACAGAAAGATACAGTACAGCAAGTAAGGTACTTGCCTTGCACATTGCTGACTCAGATCCCCAGCACCCCATATGGTTCCCCCAAGCCTGCCTGGAGTAACCTCTAAGTGAAGAGCTATGAGTAAGTCCTGAACACAATCAGATGTGGAAAAAGAAAATCAAAAAAGGAAAAAAAAAAACCTGAAAATCGTGATTAGAAAAAAAAACTGAGCTATCAAACAACCTGTGAATAAGTGTTGCTTGTTCTAAATATGTAAATACAAATAAAAATTACCCAAGGTTTGCCCAAAGCCAAACAGTCAAATAGCTAAGTAGCCTGTGATTAGGGCTGGACCTAATTTATCATTCTACTCGTCACCCAGAGCATCTGAATTCACCTATGTCTCTCAGGTACTTAGCCCCAAACTCTAGTTCAAAGAGCTTCCTCAACAAAATACAGCTCTTTGGTAATTTTCACTTGCCTAACTGGGTTTTATTTAAAAACAAAACTTACAGTTATCACAAACAGTATGTACTTCACTCTCAAAGATTAAAAATTATCCTTTTTTGGATAATTATTGGATAAATATCCTGTTCCTGGATAACTGGAACCTATGTTCTCAACTCTAGAGATAATTCTTCAGATAACTCGACTACTCATTTAGCATCACCTCTCCAAGTACTACTGACTGTATAACACCTTCAACTGAAAGTGACAAATCAATATATTAAAACACTAGTGAAACCCCCACAGAATCCTAAGAGAGCTTTTAAGGATTAACTCCAAGACATTCCAGACCAACTGTGGAGTGATGGCAATTTCCTCTTAAATTTAAGAACACACTGTGTTCTCTGACTTATACATATTAGGGAAAGACTATCATGCGCTTAAACAAGCTGCCAATTCTTGCTTTGCTTGCGGAAATTATATTGGACGTAGGGATGAATTTCCACAAAAATACAGTCAACTGCTTGCTGGGGGGGAGGGGTGGGATGAAGGGTGTATACTGCCACTTTTATAATTTCTTCTCAAAAGTTATCATTTACATGTCTTCCTTCTCAGAGGCTAGCACGGGGATTAAGGTGTTTGCCTTGCATGAGGCTGATCAGGGTCTGATGCCCATTATTGCCCATGGTGGGTCCTCTGGGTACCGCCAAGTGATCCCTGAGCACAGCCAGGTATAAGCCTGGCGTATAGCAGGGTGTAGCCCAAAAGACAAAAATGTCTTCTTTCTGTTTTGGTTTTCTTATAACCCAACCATTTTAGCTGTTGTTGCTAAAGGGAAACAGTTGATCATATAATGGTCCAATTTGCGGTGATCCAAAGGATAGTACTTGATGAACTCCTAGCACTTGAAACAATGTACTGACTTCTAATAATTGCTCAATTAAATTTTGATCTGATAAACGAAGATCATATTCTTCTGGATTAGCAACCAATTCACTGATCTCAGTTCTTCAATACCGAGCTCAAGACTCATCCAGTGTCACAGTCCCAAGGAACGGAAATAAAGAGCAGAATCTCCCACGGAAAGGATCTCTGGATTAACAGGAATGCATTATGGGTGACCTACGATACTTACGAATTGGTATGCAGATACTCAAAGGTTAGCTGGGCACGATTCAAACTGCTGTAATTTGAGAAAGCCATGAGTGCAAGGGGGTCTTCCGGCCTTTACCCACTAACTGGGCTATAAAACTTTATCTGGATTTTCCAGGGTTCCTTCCAGTAAATGATTGGTCTGCGCTTACAGTTGAAAGCTACCGAAATGTCGGTCCAAAATATATTCAGAGGTGGCTGAAATATAATTGAATTCCTTAAAATCTCAATGGTTTTGATGCCGTATTTTGAAAAGAATTATCTCGTAAATCTGTAGTCTTAGGAAGCTTCAGCGTGAAGGTGCAATTCGTTCAGTAAGTTGAATGTTGTCTTAATAGTAGATGATCCTGGTCTTGGAGGTTTTATTAGGACTCCATCTTCATTCTTCCAGTGTTCTATTTACGTTTCGGTCAAGAAATATACCAATCCACAAACTGACCAACCGGGAACGGCACTAATTTGTCATAAAACTATTCATTCGCCCTTGTCTTCACCACCAACGCTCCTTAAGCAGGCCGGCCTGGAGACCATGAGGTCGACGGCACACATACGGCGTGATTTCCGGCGTCACCGCCCCAAAGACCGCCTGTGAGCGGATGGCCGAATTCTTTTCAGAGCCGACAGAACCTGGCTCGCCCCAATCTCCTCACCAGAGAGACGCCAACTAGCTCCCCGACCCCACTAAAAACGCCTCAGAACTGACCCGCCCAAAATCATCTCAGGCGGGCCGCGCCCCTCCCCCACTCCCCTCCGACCCGGCGTCAGCCTCGGGCCCTTGCGGGCCTCGTCCCCGGCCTCCTTCTCTCAGAGGAGCTAGTCCCAGTGTTTCAAAAGTCAGACCGAGGGCAGTGGCGAGAGCACCACCCCACCGGGCGTTGCCCGGCGCTCGCAACTGCCTTTGTCCCTCCCCGCGGAATTGGAACCCAACAACCGCAGCGCGCTCTTGGAACCATGTGCTGCCGCCGCTCTGCCGCCGCCGCCGCCGCCGCCGCCGCCGCCGCGAAACCGACCGGTCGCCGCGCGCCGCTCAGGATGAGGGAGTGACAGGATTCTACGCCACGCGATTCGGCGGTCAGGGCTTCGCCGCCGCCGCTACCGCAGCCGCCAAAACCACCGCTTTGTCTCCGCCAGCGCACACAGCCTGGAACGCCTCGCGCACTCCCCGACGCCCCAAACCCCCGAGGCCTCCGTGCTCCGGCGAGCCAATCAGAGCGCAGCAACTCCTCCCGCCCCCGCCCCGCTGCCACGCCTCCCGATTGGCGGGGAACTCGCGCGCCCGCGTGACCGGATCTTGCTCGTCGGCCCGCCCCCGTCACGTGAGGGCGCGCGCCTCTCTTCCGGCTTTCCCGACCCTCTCCGCCATTTAAAGAAACAGTACCGGGGGCGGGCCGAGCGACGCAGCCGGGACGGTAGCTGAGGTGCGGACCGGAGGAGCCATCTTGTCTCATCGCCGGGGAGTCAGGCCCCTCACTCGAAGAAGCCCTGGCGCGCCCTCCCCCCCTCCCCGGTCTGGTAGGGCGAAGGAGCGGGCGCGCGGTCGATCGAGCGATCGGTTGGCGGCTCTTTCTCCTGCTCTGGCATCCAGCTCTAGGGGCGCAGGCCCGGCCGCCGCGGCGCGCGCCCGGTGGCCGTTGGCGCTCGCGCCGAGTCTTTCTTCTCGTACGCAGAACTCGGGCGGCGGCCTATGCGTTTGCTATTCGACGAGGAGTCGTCCGGGTGGTCGGCGGCGGCGGGCAGCTGCTCCGCCCCGCTCCCGGGGAGGCGGCGGCGGCGGCGGCGGCGGCGGGATTTGGCGCGGCTGGGGAGGCGGGGGCCGCCGCGGCCGGCCTGGAGGCCTGGCAGCGCCACCCTTCGGGGCCTGCTAGGACCCAGCTGGGTCAAGAAGGGGCCGGAGGATGGTTGGTGGTGGGCTTTCTTCTTTGCCTTTTCCTCCTCATGCCGCCTTAGTGGGGGCCGGCGGCTCTGGCGGCAGCTCCGGGGCGGGGAGACGAGCTTCGGAGTCGGAAGAGCTGGGTTTGCTTCCGGGCCTAGCCACCAGCTGGCCGAGTGACCTTAGGCAAGTCACTCTTTAATTGGCGCCTCAGTTTCCTCCTCTGCCTCTCGATATTTGTGGGATTGAACGCGCTTTGAAATCTCCGGAGCGCCGGCGTGCGTAGGGGATGATCTCGTCCGTTTGTGTGTGTGTGTGTGTTTCCTTTTGTAAGAAAACTTAGCGCAGGCCCAGTCCTTCGACTGCAGAACCTCGGATCCCCTGGAATCAGATGCGGCGGTTAGCGGGGAGGTGCATCTGAGCGGGGAGGGGAAATGAGGCTTCTTGGCCAGCAAGTTTTCAAGGGGGCCGTGGCCCCAAAGCGTTGAGACCCACAATTCCTTTATGCCACAGGGAGGAAACTGAGGCCTAAGATGTCATTGGGACCCTTTCCAACCAATTTGAAGCCCCTGTTCGAATCCCTGAGATATGTGAGCTGTTCTATGCATAATGGCTGTTGGGGTAACAACACTCCACTACTTGGCTTCTGTTCTGAGTCCTTGGCTTTCACCACGGGGTGCCTGAGGGGTGGCTGGTGCATATGGTACAGTGGCACCCAATATAGAGCAGCTAAAACGAGAGTGGATATTTTTCTCTGTCAAGAAGCCGATTTGATCGTTGACCCAGCAACTTTGTTTTTCGCTGCTTTTACTGGTGCCTAATGATTTTCCTTGTTCGCTGACCATTTTTCACTGTTGCCATCCGTTACTCGCTCTCCTGCTTTGTAAACCTAGTCTGTATGGTTGATCGTGAACAGACTTAACTGTAAATGGTGCTGCCAAGTCCAGATCACTAATGGTGCAGGTGGAAAATCTGCACGCCGGCTTACTTGAACAGATGGAACCAGTCGTGGTATTCCTGAAGATGCTGGGAGAGGGGATTGTCTTTATTAACTGAAGGTTGACATTCTTGGAAGTTGTATTAGAACTACTGAGCCTCAGAATCAGTAGATTTGAAGTGTTAAAAAAAAATGTCCTGCCCTGCCTTGTTCCAATTGCTTGCGAGTGTGTTACTAAAATGGCCAAAATGCCAGTTTTTTGCTTCTTTGTTAATTGTCAGCTGCTTATATCAAATTCCAGGGCCACTATCCAGTAAACACTATAGAAATGTTTGAACTGTTGGATTTCAAACATTTTTGTCTTGTGGAGTGGTGCTTATCAGTGGTACAGCTCTAAGCAAGTGAATACAAACACATTTAAGTGTATTCTGTCTGGTTGTTAACCAGTTCTGCTGTTTCATACAAATGTCTGAAAAAATCAGTTGAACTTTACCTTCAAGGGCAGAGACAATTGATCTCGCTTCCAGAGAAATGACTTTGAGAAAACTTTGTTGGTCTTTTAGCGCATTGTAATTAAATCTGGTCGTACCTCAAAAGAACTTGATGACTGTTGATAAGATGTTTTTGTTGGGAGAAAGGAGGGGGAAAAAACCAACTGGAAGCCAAAGCTTGAAATTCTGTGACAAAACATGAGATGTCCAGAATAGGTTGTTGAAAGGGTTTTGCTGCCGCCATGTTCTGCACTAGCTGGAGCAGCGAATTTTCATGGTGACCACGGCATTGACTCCAGAGTATCAAGAACTGAACCTGGAAGAGCTTATCAGGATGTGGCAGCAGTTGTGGAGCCCTGGATATTTTCAGTTTTGATCTTCCTTGAGAAAAGAGGCGACACCTGAGCAAACACTGCCACTCACACTGTTACTGGGAATTGGAAGATGCGAATGTCTGCCAGACCCTCAGTACAAACTGGCAACGCTCCATCCAAAGTGAACTACGGTACTTGCCATTTTCCAAAATGCCTTAATTTTTATCATTTCTACACTTTTCTCTGTTCATGCTCTCTTCCTTAACCCAGAGTGCCTTTTCTGGTTCTTTATCTGTCAAAACTCTGCCATCTTCTCAATAACCAATTTCGATTCTCCAATTTCCATGAGTCTTTTAACCATAAATAACTTTCTTTCGACTTGTGATCTGTTACCTTTCCCCCCTTTCTTTACCTTGTAAAATAGTTTGAGTACATTGCATTTGCTCTCAGCAAAGGCCTTTCTGTTCATCTTTGCCAACATTTGCCAGTGCATTTGGTTAAATGTTTATTAGGAAGAATTTAGAGAGCAGGCTATCAGAATAAATACTCAGTGTTTGCCTAATCTGAGTGATAACCTCATTATTAATGAGAAGCAAAGACACGACATATAGGCCTTATTTCCTATTTCTTGGGTCTTGTGGTGCGTTTTTGTTTGGTTGCTTGTTTTGGACCACACCTGATGGTGTTTGGGAACTGCTTCTAACAGTGCTCAGGGTTGCTTTCAGCAATGCTAGGGTACCATGAAGTGTCGGGCATGGAACCTGGGCCTCATACCTGCAAAGTTTGTTCTCCGTTTCTTTGAGATTTCTCCCTGGCACCTTGTTTTTTAATTCTAAATTTGAAGAGTTGGGGAGGCCTCAAATATTAAGAAAAACTGATGGGGAGTTACAGAGGGTTGCTAGAATCATAACATTATTTTGCAGATACCTTTCTACCACCTAAGATAAAATCTTACTGAAAGATGATTTTTCAAAGAAAGTGTTCAAGAGAGTTTGAGAAAGGACAGTATTTTGTTTTGGTTTTGGTATATAAATTTATATCTCCATTCTTTTCATTCTACTTGTGGGTCCATTTCCTTCTTCCCAGCCCAGCAGAGCAAATTGCTCCAAGAATTTGAGGCTTAGGACAGTTCCTCTTTGCTAAGACAACTTGCTCTCAAGAGTGAGAAAGCTTCCTTTGCCAGAACACTTTGTTCTTATGACCAGTGTGATACCTCCAGTCCCATTTATCATCTGGCAGCTGATGCATTAATAGAAAAGCCACTCTGGTATTAAGAGTCCTGTGTTTGTAGTTCCATGCATTTGTTACCTTATCTGTTTTGTCCTTGTCCTTTTCAGTCCTGTGCCTCCTGATTGCTGTGTTCACCTGGATCATCTGACTACCTTCCCTGTGCTGTTCCATCAGCCTACAGTTCTGGTACCTGGACTTTTGCCCGTGGTGACTACTTCCACCTTACTACTGAAGAAGACATCTTTCCAGTGGACCACTGTGAACCAAGAGGCATTCAGCCATCGTGATGTGGCCTTCATCTCCACTCCTGTCCTACCCAGATTGAGCACAGCCCTTTATAGTGAAGTGAAACTCAAGCCAAATAGTTGAAGCTGTTTTATCACAACCAGGCCCAGTTTGTTCCCTGATAGTGCATTTCATTGTTTGAGTTAAAGTTTCAGAGACACACCAGTTTGGACCAGGGGATTTATAGTGATCAACACTGTCTGAAGAATGGCAACATCTTTTTGAGAACAACATTGGACAACACCCCACAGTTTCAAATTATCGAAGTTCATGAAGTGTCTAGGATCCCAGCAAGGTCACTCAACCTTACTCTCTTTTCTACTTCAAATATGTAGTATCCCACTGAATGAGAAAGCAAATGTTCAGACCCATCAGGATTGAGACTAATGACACGGTGAACTCCTCGTAGCATCTTCTTTGGGATTACTCAGGAACCAGAACTTTTCACACAAATATAAGAAATTCTACCAAGGAATCCCTTAATCAAACAGCATCTCACAAAGCTCCAATCAGATTCCTGAAAAGGCTTCTTGATAAATCCAGGTAGAACCTATATGGTAATCC